GATGGTTGACATAAATATCTTTGCTTCCGTAATATATCACAATATATTAACTGAGAAAGAGTTATTGATTGAAGACTTTTGACCCCTTCTCAGCCCAGAATTTGAGTACTCAGATCCTTTTCTTGATTTTACTGTACCGTGGGGATCCGGGTTAGAATAGGTCCTCAATATCTCCTTGTTTGTCGTAAAAGGCGACTAATTGGGGTGGTCCTTCGGATGAGACCGTATAAATCGAGGCCCCGAGTCACAGCAGGTGTGGCACGATAAAGGTTCCTCCCTGCTCAAACGCCGGAAGTGCCGAGCATAGGCCTAAATTTGCAGCCTATATGATATGACGTCATAGTAAGCTATAATACGTGAAGTTTAGAGATAAGAATTTTTTTAAAATCGACATAAAGCGTAAAAAAAATTAGCATTCTAGCACCTTTTAGCCAATAAATAAGTAACGTACGACATAAAAATCATAATATATAGTTGTAGATTGTTGAGATACACATTTTTGCTTCAGTAATGTATAGCAAAATAATGACTGCTAAGGAGTTATAGATTGAGGATTTTTGGCCTCTTTCTGCCTTTATTGTGATGAGTCAGCACTTTTTTATTGATATTATATTAAAGATCTTGTCATTTTGCACAAATGAGGTTTAGTATGTTTTACGAAATATTTATACTTTAAAATATATTATGCAAAATTTTCAAAAAAAAAAAAAAAAAAAAAAACCTCTCATGATTCGTAAGCTAAATTTCGATCCCTACCGAGATTCCATACTAGGCACTTCCGGAATTTATCCCGACAAAGGTGCAACATGGCATCATGTCCTCTATCTTCCCTGAAAATTTTATCTTTCTAGCTTTAACCGTTTTGAGTTCCATCACAGACAAAGAGGTCAGCTAAATTTCGATCAAAGGGCGATAACTCCTGACCGGAAGTGATTTTTTTTAAATCGAGTTGCCGGTAAAAACTTCAGATAAAAACACATAGACTCTGAAGATTTGAACTAAATCGATCGAGCCATCTCCGAGAAATCCTCTGCACAATATCGGTATGGAAAAAATAGAAAAAAATAATAATAAAGTGAAAAAGAAACTTAAGAATAATAGAAAGGTCTTCCGCTGAGGACGAAAGACCCTGATAATATAGGGGGAAAAGAATCCGAAGAATAATAGAATACTAGTAGTCTTCCGCTGAAGACGAACGAGCCTAATAAGAATAATTAATAATGCTTTATTCAAAGAAGGTAACCTGATTAGTGCAAGCACTATTCTTCGCCAGGGCCTTCTGTCAACTAACAATATAAAGATACATGGTTGTACACATACAAACATATTAAAAATATATACCTAAATATACAAATACAAAAAAAAAAAAAAAAAAATGAATCACAAATTATTTTGACATTGTTTTACATAATATTTTACTTGTCTCTTGAAAGAATTAAGAGTTGGTGACATTTTTATTGCACCGGTAAAGCATTCTACAAAATGGCACCAGAGTACAGGAAGGGATTTTCAAAAAGTTTACATTTATGAATTGGCACACACAATTCAATACTGGATTCAGATCGAAGAATATATTGGTTATTAATTTGAAATTGAAACATTTCATGTTAATAAGTAGGACAAGAATCAAAGAGGGATTTATATAACAATACATATTCATTTACAGTTAGCTGTTCATAAACAGTAAGCCATGCAATCAAGTTCATAAAAAGGGGGTCTTGAGGGTGCATGGGGGGGGGGGTCTAAAATATACCTTGAGGACGTTTTTAAAGATTATGAACTCTGTCAAGATTTGATCTGGACGTATTTCCTTAAATTGTTAGGCAGTAATCAATTGTAGGCATGATGTATGCATTGTAAAACAACTTGCGTGTTTGAAGAGGAAGATACTTTTGAATTCAGAATTAGTGAAGCTTTTGTCAAACAATCTACAATATTAAAATATTAAACGTCTTTCCAAGATATTTTCTTAATTCTAACTACAGCATATTTAAATATTTTGTAAAGATGCGTATGATAATTTTTTTCTTGACATGAATATTTTCAGGTCAAAATTTTCAAAAAGGTTCATAAAAACACTGTACCTGTGCACCTTGGGTCACCCCACTTATCCTGACAACCATTTGGGCATATTCCACTTGTTTTGTTACAAAGTGTACCAGTTTTACAATAGCTACAATTCTGTGTACAGTCTGGTCCATAATAGCCGTCTTTGCATTCTAACAAAATTTTAAACATGTTATAAGACTATATATTGAACATCCCTTTATGGACAGATGATACAAGCAATCTTTTGTAATAAAAATTGAAAATGACAACTGGAATCATGTTTTAATAAGAATCACCGCGTAGTTTATTCAATTTTTTATTCAAAGTTTTACAGCAATGCCTTTCAAAATGAAAAATAGTTTGATAGATTAATAGGGATGTTTTAGAAAGGTAGAATTTCGAACATCATAGGAGGTTCAAAATTTCGTAATATTAAAAAAATGTAACATTTGCGTCATTTGCATCAAAAATAAACCCAGAAATATAGACAAATCTAGGAATCCATTTTTGTTTGTTTATCTGTCCTTCATATAATAATTAACCTGGTGTAAATGAAGAACAGACAAGAGGCGAACTCAGGATCGGAGGTCTAAATCATGAATGTACTACACGCCACGTCCGACCATTATCTATTTAAATGAGCATTTCTAATGATTGCGTGAGGAATGTATATCAAATAAATTAAACATATGTGAAATAAATTTGATATCCGAAATTCTGAGCTGTACAATGCGGGGTAAGTAAAGGAAGAAGCTTACTAAAATTATGAAATTTGATAAGGGGGTTATCTCAATATCTTGGCGATTTCTCTTCAACAGGAGTAAAAAGCATCCAAAATTAATTTGTATTTGTGTCTCTCTTTATTTTGTGGTAGATAGCATTAATCATGATATTAAGATAGGATTCTGTTACCTGAACAATACGGTGATTCAATGACATTGTCCCTGCATCCATAGATACAGGAACCATTAAAAGCATCGCAAACTGTATCACGACATTTAGGGTTACAGAGATTGCAGTTTTCTCCATAATGTTTAGATGGACAACCTAATACAAAAAGAAATTGAAAAACAGATACTGATTAAAATTTCTAACTCATTTAATAAACTCTTTATATAAACTTCTATTCTTCTATAGATATGTAAAGACATTCTTTACCAAGGAGTCCTTTAAGTATATTTCAAAATCATTGTTTCACATACCCATCACTTTTACTTCGCAGATTTCAATTGTTGCAAATGATGGTTCATAACCCGCACACAGTGTATTGATTGGTGTGGCCTTTGAATTATACAAAGCTATCCCCTGAATCTCTTTATTAATAGTTACAGTTGTCACACGGACAGGACAGGTAGAAATATCGTGTGTGAATAGTTTATGTTGAGATGGATCAGCTGGAGGAACATATGACGAGTCGTTGAATACAAAGACAGAAAAACCCACATGTCGATTCACAGCTGAATAAAGTAAAATTATTTTTGAATGTTCAAATGATAATCTTAGAGTTACAATTTCTTTTTTCATATAAAATTATTGTTCATATAAAAAGATTATGTTTCTGCCTGTCAACTTAAAATCCTCATATATTATTTTGTTAACGTATTTCAATTTCATGTAAATATCCCGTGTGGAACCCCTTCGTTTTTAGACATGTTTTCACTGTAAAAAAAAACCCTTTACTGAACCTCAATTCACTGGACCTAAAAATCCGCCTGTTCGTGAAAGTGAGTTTTGGACACGGCAGTCCAGAGAGGAGGACGTTTTACCACTCTCACACGATTATGTTTTGTAGGCAGCATTCTGATTTATATCAAGTACCAATATTACTTGCAGAGTTACCGTTCTCTGTATTTCTTTTGTAATGGTCCAGCTTTTCTGAGGTAAGGTTAACTTTATGTTTATAATTCTATTTTATCTTAGTCATTTTCTTGTATCGTTCATTTGTCCTAAAACATCCAGTCACAGCATTTCTCATCGAATTTTAAGCATATATGTTTTGTTTTATTTAATAACTATTTATAGCAACACGTATTTGAATATTTCAAAGTATGGTATACAATTTCCCTCATAATAGTTTGTCCATAAGGTAGCAATTTGCGATATTGCATTTGTGTACGAGTTGAATGTATTATATAACAACTCGAGTGTGTAATTAAGTCTTGTCTTAGACGTGTGCATTATCTGTAAATCTGATAATTAGTGTAATGTGAATTTATGTAAAGCCACAAGAGCTTAATGTCAGTAACTTTTGTATGTGTATATTTGGAGCAGGTTCCAACCAGCCCTAGTTTAAAGTTTATGTATAGACTGTGTAGAGAGGCCACCCAGTACCTAAAGTCCGCCCATGGTGTGTTGTAGGCCACCCTGGAACCTATTGTCCATGCCTTAGTTTGTGATGTTGTAAAGCCAGCGGCGAGACAGGAATTTGGACAAACAACAACAAAGGATTTTGACTATTTGTATATTTAGTATACTAAATTTGTAAATTATCTATAAAAAAGTATTTGAGTTGTCTTTCAACTAATTAAGAAACAGATCCGCTCGACATTCTGTGACACTGCCAAAAAGGAAAATTATTTTCAAGGGCAATGTTGAAAACAAAACTATCCAACAAACTGTTTTTAAAGTCATCAAAAATTTCAGTTTTCACAAAGCATTCCATAGTTTGACTTTACAGCTAACTGAACTGTTATGCAAATTACATCTAATGTTCTCGTAATAGATTGATTGATTTATTGTTTATTGTTTAACGTCCCTCTCGAGAATTTTTCTCTCATATGGAGACGCCACCATTTGCAGGTGGAGGGCTACAAATTTTGTCCTATACTCGGCAATTGCTAAAGGAAAGTTGATCAAGATGTTAAAAAAGAAATTATAGTGAAAAAAATTTACACCTGAAAGGGGAGGGCAACATTTCTATCTCTAACTCCTTTACGATTGTTTTTGTGTTTTTTTTTGAAATTAAGGTTTATTGATCCTCTGATATGAGAAATAACTGTAAATTACATAAATGTCTTCTATTCTTTCATAGAATTGCCAAGTTGAAATGTCTTTTTTGTCTAACTTTCCCCCGCGCTATGCTATACATGTCATTGCTTATATTTTACTTATTAAATACATTTATTTTGGGAAATCATTAAGGTTCAAGCAATATTTTAAATGACTGAACAGGGGTTTATGAACCTAAAGTTCATCTCACCGTCTGAATCTATATAAGTATTATAAGTATTATAATTCAGTCGTATATCATATATTAAGAATTGGGAAGAGTGCTAAATCGGTGATATATTTTTACTGTTATAATTGACACCATAAACGCCCCCAGACATTGCTCAAACAAACTAATAACACAATTGTAATTATATCCCTTATTGGGAAGTTCCTTATAAAATTTAAAAATTCCTATCCCATATCTTAGGGGTTTGGAACTAATTGAATAGCATGTTAACATTATTTATTTGGAAAAAAAATCGTTTAACAAATTGCATAATAAACAGTAGTTTCCCTTCTAAAAATTATTAATTTCTTGCCCAACCTCCCGGTCAGGGGTTCTTTAAAAAACTACTTTTAATAGGTGAAAACATGTTTGTCTGAAACACGCAGTGAAATCAATGGCAATAAATAGAAAATAAATACCTTATAAACATGGTGGCATCTGTATACAAGAGTATTTAGAATAGTGTTTAGAGAGTAAATGTAGTTTATGTAATAAATGATTTTATACTGACGATTGTATATACATGTATTTTATTTTATAACCCTTGGGGAGCCTCTATTTTTTAACCAAAGCTAATTAATAATGCCCATATGTTACCTCTTAGCTATACTGAATTTTGATTGGCTGAAAGATAGCATCCTCTCTTTATGTAACTTAAGCCTGATAGAAGCGCAGCATCGCAACGCATTTTTTTGTCACAATTTTTTTTATTTCTTTTTTTTCACGTGACAGAACTAAGGCCGGTCATGTTTTTCTGAACTCCCGCTTTGGACAGAAAAAAGGTAAAATATCTTCCAATATGTATATTAAATGGGAACGTAAAGTGTGTATTTCATGGAGTAAGTAGTGAAGATAGTTGAATTCTGTTTTTGCGAAGCTTAAAATTTGCAAAACTTTGATATTCGGATACTCTTACAAACATGAATAGAAACAAGAGCCGCACTGAGCAGAAATCACTCCTAGAGGGACTTACTCTCTCGTACTTAGCATTACAGGTAACCCATTCACACCTGAGTTGGTCAGTGCTGTGCATTCGCTCCCTACTCGAGGACATACCGGCTTCGCTCAGCACAATCAGAAATCTTAGCGAGGAAATAAACGAGATCAAGCAAGACTTGTGGGAACAAAATGGGTTCGATCCCAGAATCAAACTGATAGCACAGCAACAAGCAGATGGGGACGATGAGCTTTAGTAACTGAGACAAGAGAAAAGGTCCTTAAAAGAAGATGTCAACATGCTAAAATGTATCGCGATTAATCTAGAGAGAACAGTAATAAAAAATCAAAATGAAATAATCGATCTCAAATTGAGATCTATGATACAAAATATTTTGATTCATAATTTCCCTGAAGAAGATGGCAAGGATCTTTTTGTCAAAATCCCAGAACTTATCAAGACGCATTTCAAAGTAGAATCATCGTTTGCGAATATTCACATAAAAGGTCCAAAAATTCAAGGAAAGGCAAGAACCACCACGGGGAGACTCAACAAATTTACGGATAAGGACTTACAGGCTCAGAGTGATATCAGAAATCAACGTGCAGAACAAGCAGAGGAAACTGACCAGAATTCTTTCGAGCAATAAATTTCAACTTTCTTCATTACTCCACAAACTCCAATCGAAATATCAGAAAACAGAAAGAAACTATTAGAGTTGAACAGTAGATACTGGTAAGCTAACGTCAAGACACGAATTGTCGGAGAGAAACTCGTATTCCCAAATGGAAGTGTACATACAGTTCCCGCATCGTTATTCTTGACAATTCTATCGTGTTCTATCGTGCGTGTATCCTATGTGCGTGTATCCTATCGTATCCTATCGTATCGAGTTTTCCGTTTATCAGGTTTTGCGTTTTCTATCGTGTTTTCCGTTTATCGTGTTTTGCGTTTATCGTGTACATCGTTTATCAGGTTCTATCGTGTATCGTGTTTTGCGTTTATCGTGTATATTCAGAAACCCTCGCTTTTTATCTTTACTATACAAAGAAACTACTGAGCTATTCCGAGTTTCTTTTTCGTTTTGTTAATAAAAATAAGATTAATTCAACCGAAAAAGAGAAAATAAAGTTTTATCCCTTTCTTTTTCATCAATATAGAAATATTAAAGCGTAGAAGGAAAAAAAATAGCGTATGTATTGAATGATTAATAAATAATAAAATAAATAAATAAAATTATTATATTATGGTAAAGCAGAGAGTTATTGTCAAAATTTAAACAGTAACTCTATTTTGCGGAAATGAATTTATAAGTAGATCGATCACCTGGTCTATTTTTTTTTAAATAATTTATCGAATTGTATGATTTATTTTGTCAAAATTAAATACTATTAATATAATATTCCTAAATGAATCAGAGTTACCGGAGAATGATTTTTGGTAAGATACGATGTTCGCATACACAAAAAAACAAATAAATAAAGATTAAGCAGGATATTGATATGTATCTTTTTTCATGAAATATTATGTTTATCGTCTGATAACGTTAGGAATATGTTAACGCCTCTGATCTGTATATATGCACAATTATTAAAAGTCTTGATATTAGAAATATACTAAAACATACATGTAAAACATTGATCCAGATGATTTTAACAACGATTTTGGCCGTGTACGATCAAATTTTAATTTATTTTTTAAAGCTAAATTCCTTTATATATGTCTAAATTAATAAAGATTAATCAAAATTATAAAATATAATATACAGGGGAAACGTGATGTTTTTTAACAACTTACCTTTTCGGCTTGGAAATAAACTGAAAATACAATCCATCGGGATGCCAAAAATCAAAATAAATCGAAGACCTTTCCTTACCAAAAAACTTATTCGTATGTGTAGCTCTCTAATTAGCACACCGTCTTCCTGTGCGGTCAACCATCCCCACCCCCTTCTCCCCTAACTGACATCTCGGCTCGTGTGTGTGATCACCGTCAACATACCTGTACTGATTTCTCACCTGGGGTCAATTAGTAACCTCGAATACTACCTTGTTCTAATGAAACGCATGTGCTTATTTTCAGGATTTTGTTCCTAACTTGTTTGAACAAACTTAGATTTAATTCAAAATATATTAAATAATTGTACAATTTATGGATTAAAATATCATCTCATTGCTTGAATGTTAAATAAAAATTCAAATAAATTAATTTAATGAA